TTACAAGGATAAAAGTTGCTGAAAATGCCAAGGCTCTAATAGCAAAAGCAGTTCAGACCTTTGTTAACAGTCAACAAATCCATGTTTAACCCTCCTCCTGAGGGTCAAAAGGTTATCAGACACTTACTCTTCGCACGTCAGCGGAAAGTAGATTTCATGGTCCTTGCAATAAAGTGATAAAAACGGTAGGTCAGTGCTGAAACAAAAAAGTTTTGCACTCGGTCCGTTAGACCATGTCCTCAGAAAATGTCTGATATCTGACCTTTCCCCCACTGCCCTTTCACCTGTAAACTCCAATTTCGCGCTGGCGATGGGTTTCCTCCCCATCACACTATAAATCGAATATTAAGAGCGTAGATCAAGCCGTTGAGATTTGTGCCGCAATTCCGTATTTCCTCCTATACCTTAAGTTAAGGGGGAAATATTCCCCCTCCATTGACACATCTTGACCTTTGATTCTTGACCACCAAATTCAACATCCCGAGTCCTTTTCACGATCCACCCCGACGTACCAAATATCAAGACCGTACGTCGAGCGGTTAAGATTTGTGCCCAACTGTTGATGGACGCACTGACGGACAATCATGCGATTCTACAAGCTGCATCTGACTTCGTCAGCTGAGCTAAAAAGCCAAAATTATTAAAGCCCTACAACTATTGTAGCAAAAAACATGGACTGCTATCCCTGCATCGATATATTGTGTATTTTAAAATCCAATACCTAAATCAGTCAAGCATACTGCCTCTCCTGCTCCTTCCACAGCCTGCAGCAATTGCAATTCTGTGAATGCACATTTCATTGACTCTCCAGAAGGCTTATCCATGAAGTCAAAACTAGCAGGATTTTTCACTCCTAGCGCCAATAGCTGAAGAACTATGCTTGCCAGATTGCAGCGTTGTATCTCAGGAATGGTGTCATCAAGAAAGTTCCTATACTCTTGCTGGGTGTACAACCGATAGCTGATTCCTATTGAACACATGAATTAAAAGATAACATGAAATTAAAACATGATATTTGAGTTCCATAGCATAAATTGTTACATACCTATAACTCATTATAAGCTTGCGTTAAAGAAACAATAGCCATGAAATTATTGTCTAGTATATGCTGATGTTTATATGCAGTATCAACCAGGTATATCAAACAGGTATAGACAGCAAGCTGCATGCAATTAGGGTTTCCACCCATCATAAATAATAAAACTTGCTAATGTATTGTTTAATAATGGATGTTGGTACCACACACGTATTACCCACTCAGTGTCCATGAAACTATAGAAAATGTCAGACTATTTATGCTAGCCCGTACTAATTAGGCTATAGTGCACAGTGCTACCGGCAGACTGACGGCCAGCACGCCCTGTCCGTTGCCACGCCTGCGCCTTGGAGATGCGTTGCACCTTGAGAAGGTCCAGCCCACTAATTGCCGAGAAGGTCTTTGCCTTTACCATGCCTGTGTCCACTACGAACTTCACACCACGGATGGTAATGGACGTTTCTGCGATGTTGGTTGACACGATCACCTGATGAAGATAAGAGTGGAACACGTGCACGCAAACATTAGGCGTCGCACCCGACAGTTGATAGGAGAGTTAGAAAATGGTTGGGTACACACGGAACAGTGGAGGAGTGGGGAGAAGTTATATTATTTGAAGATAGCTAGGTATGTTATAATTATATAGATGCCTTATACGTGGATTGAGCAATAGCTTATTTAAACACATAAAGTTAAAAACCACAGACGTAAGCCACAATGAGTGAAATGCTTATTGGAACATTGGGGTATGGTACAAGATCTAATTTCATCACCTTCCTACAACCATCTGGAGTTGGCTGGAATACCCGAAGTTGCTGCTGGGAAGGAAGTGAAGCATACAGAGGATGCACTATCAGCCTCGGACAAGTAGCAGGCATCCCTGCACAAACAATTATTACACATTATATTTTTTATAAAACATACAATTGTGAACTTAGTTGAGCTGCTTAAGTGACATGGATATATAATGAATGATGTGTAAACAACAGTGTTGTAGGTCTCGAGACCGGTCTTGGCCTCGAGACCGGTCTCGAGACCGTTTTCCTTGGTCTCAGTCTCGGTCTCGGCCTCGGAGTGCAATGACTCGGACTCGAACTCGGACTCGAGCCCTCCGGACTCGAGGACGCGGGTCGAGACCGGCTCGAGGCCACTACATACATAATAGTCATAGATGCTGTTTGTCGCGCTTTAAATCGCGCGTGGGCCGAGTTCACGCGCATCATTCGTATTCAACCACGGGCATAATAATGTACACAGGCGCGCGGTTAATCAATCGTCTACTGCGGCTGGCAGCAATATGCTGGTCCCAAAAGTGTCGACTTATGCAAGTTTTATGGTACTTTCTATTTTATGCAAACAAGTGACAGATCCAGGGGAGAGGAAACACCCTCCCCCATTTTTGAACAAACATACATAGAAGTGAGTGGCCTTGTCGGTCTGTGCCCCCCTTTTTTTATCAAAACTCGACTCGGACTCGGACTCGGACTCGGACTCGGGTGGTGTGGACTCGGACTCGGGTGGCGCGGACTCGGACTCGGACTCGGACTCGGACTCGGGGGGTGCGGACTCGGACTCGGACTCGGACTCGGGGGGTGCCGACTCGACTACAACACTGGTAAACAAATTGTACATAAACAAGTATGTGCATTACTAAATTGGGAGCAAACTCCTAGATTACACCCCATGCCAAATACACAGAAAAAACTAAAATAATACCTTTCGCAATGTCATTAATGGTGTGAACCATTGCTTCAATTTCCTCTTGGCCAGTTAGGAAAACAAGAATGTCACTCTTTGGTGGCTCTCTCTTGTGGATTTGAAAAACAGTAACGAGGGCAGCGAAAAGGTAGTCAGTCTGGGGTTCCATCGAATGCAAGACCTGCCAAGATAGTTGATAAATATCTTAATGGAGGTGAACATCACAATGCTTTTTGCACGTTTGTACCTTGTTTAAATTCATACATGCTAAAGACAGCTAGTAGTCTAAGTAGAGCATCCATGATACACCCATACAGCACAAAAAGACTTTGCCACCTGAATTACAAACACATATATATTGATATAGTAATGTTTTCCATTTTAACTGGAAAGATCATATAGAAATGAGATGGAGACATGTGCAATTTTATAAATTAGGTATGTCATCAATAAACTAAAATTTTTGTTTTTAATACCTCCACATGGTATTGCCTTCCCTCTAAGTAAAGAACAGGAGCTTTGTTAAAATAGTTTGAGAACTTGTCTACGTTCATTGTTGCTGACATCACGATGACCTTGAGCGGGGGGAGCTGTCGTTTCAATCTCACTCTCTGAGCTTTCTTCACCACTCCAAACAACACGTCAGTGTGGATCGTTCTTTCATGTGCCTCGTCCAGCACAATAACAGAGTACCTGCAGACAATATGCAATACCAAGAATGTATTGAGAAAGAAAATCACTGCTATGCATTCACCCTAGCTAAACTAGAAAGGGCAGTTGTCGCCAACTACATGTATCCACCGTGATCTAGTATGAGTGAAATATCTCTGTAAAGACGTAGAAGGTAGGTAAAGTTAAATAAGTCACAAAGACACAGGTTTGTTACACAACTCATCTGCCTGAGATGTGCAAGTATGTTAAAATTGGTTGCCTTAGGGGTTTTTGTACGCGACACACCTTCTCCCCAAGATGTGTAAGTATACCAAGTTTAGTCGCGCTAGGTCAATTAGGGGCCGAGTTATAAAGCGGAAGGAAAATATGATAAAGGTCAAGGCCAAGGTCAAGGTCAAATAAAAGCTGCAGTGACGTGGTTTTGGTACGTGACACACATTCTCCCCAAGATGTGTAAGTATACCAAGTTTGGTAGCGCTAGGTAAATTAGAGGCCGAGTTATAGAGCGAAAAGGAAATATGATCAAGGTCAATGTCAAGGTCAAATATAGGTCGTAGTGACCTGGTTTTGGTATGCTGCTCACCTTCTCCCCAAGACGTGTAAGTATACCAAGTTTAGTAGCGCTAGGTCAATTAGGGGCCGAGTTATAGAGCAGAAAGGAAATATGATGAAGGTCAGTCAAGGTCAAGGTCAATGTCAAATAAAGGTTGCAGTGACCTGGTTTTGATACGCGACACACCTTCTCCCCAAGATGTGTAAGTATACCAAGTTTGGTCGCGCTAGGTCAATTAGGGACCGAGTTATAGAGCGGAAGGGAAATATGATCAAGGTCAAGGTAAAAGTCAAATAAAGGTCAAATAAGGTCGTAGTGACGTCGTTTTGGTACGCTGCGCATCTTCTCCCCAAGATGTGTAAGTATACGAAGTTTGGTCGCGCTAGGTCAATTAAGGGTGGAGTTATAGAGCGGAAGGGAAAGTGTCTGCGGCGGTGGCTGGACAGACATGACCATAGTATCCCCGCCGACTGCGTCGCGGGGGATACAATTAACACTGATACTTGGGTAGAGTATTGGGATCATTAGACAGATGTGCCAGTGTTTATGGCAGACGGCCATTACAGAAAGCTAAAGCACATCTATAAGAATAATTATGTCCACTGTTACATACATCATTGTAATAATGCCAAATAACAACACTCGGTACACATTTATTTAGTGTAGCTATCAGCTATAGAAGGGAAGAGAATGAATGTGTAAAGTGGAGACCTGGACCACCTGTACGAGATGCAGATCCACTGCACTACACCACATGATCATGACAGAATTAAGTTGTGAAGTTAGCGAGAAAATGAGAAATTAACTAGCAAAAAATACAATGTGTATAATTAGATAGAAAAAACAATAATCTAATATGAATAAACTGTGTGCCTTTGAATATACCTTTTTAAAAGGTGATCCCCCAAGGCCTCTCTCAGTAGCATGCCATCAGTCATGTACTTTATCTTTGTTGCTGGACTGGTGACATCTTGAAATCGTACTGTGTATCCTACTAGCTGCCCAAGTTCTGTTCCTACTTCCTGAGCCACTCGTGTTGCTACTGATACAGCTGCTACCTACGTATAGTAAATCCACCCTAACGTGTTTCAAAGGGCAAACAGCAGAAGCAGCAGGAAACATGTAACTCCTCCACTTTCTAATATAGTTAAGGGTTTAGGAAGCAGTTCAGATTTAGTCTCGCAATTACATTTCAGCTAAAAGCTGCCATAGTTTGGTGCGCTATACAGTATACAGTATGCATCAGTGCTACTAAATCCTTCACACTAGTTTCAGATATATGATAGCACATGTCTGAGGTATGAGAGTGAGCAGAGAGAAGCAAGGGAAACGTACAGGGCTTAATTTACCCTGGTTGCAGCACATAACTCTATACATGGTTAGATACATGATTAAACATTGATATGACTGCTGACCCGTCTTGGTTGTGTGACCACAATGGTGCCTTGTCTGCTGAAGCCACCTTCATGAAGAAACTGAGGAAGCTGAGTCGTCTTTCCGCTGGCAGTCTCACCAATTATAATGCACGAGTTATGCGCATGGATCTTTGCCAGCAGCTTCTCCTTGACAGAAAATATGGCCAAGCTCTCTCGCTGTTTAAGTATGTCTGCTGGTGTTTCCGGATTGGGTCGATGTTTCTTTGTAGGAGAGTGGTTAGCCTTAGGTATCTGTGGCGACTTAGAACCAGGCCTCTTCTTAGCAGATGCCATAATTACAAGTAACCACTGACGTGATTGCCCAATTTAATCTAAAATATAAAGAAATATTATTATTACATCTCTTTTAAAAACTCATGCCACTCATTATACTCAATATTAGCCAGATGACAATTTTGATATTTGTGATGTACTGTCAATCTCCTAGATGCTATCAAACATTTAAGGCCCCTATGGCTGACATGGGCTTTAGCACTAGAACTAGCAGTGCCAGGCAGTAGAGTTACTGACAAGCAGCCAGCAATGACAAGACAAGACAAGACAAAACGGCTGACAAGAAGACTGAAGAGTCAAGCACAGCTGACATTAGATACAATAATGTAACGCAACAAGAGTAGGGTTACAACGCAAGCCTATTCTTTTCTTTGGAGAAGCCCCTGAGTGATTCACTCAGGGCAGTTTTATGGTGCGTTTTTCGAGACTAGAACTTCCAAACTGGGTTTATTCTAAACACGAACCTTTCTCCGCTATCCTGGGACTATATGTATCACAATACTCTGTATTAAACTAATATAACCTGTTACAAAATTTCGAAGCGACGAGCGGCGATATTTCAAGCGCCATTTCTGTTGACCTGTGACGTGCGCATTTCCAAGCGCATAACGTTCGTCTAACTTCGGTTCCAAGATCGAATGCATCATGGGATACCTGCTGTCAGTCATGGCGTCACCAGAGCCAGCATGTCAGGCAACACAGCAAACTGCAAGCAGCGCCCCTTCGTACAACTCAGGATACTTCGTACAACTCGTGAATTGAGCCAGAGCGAGAGCGCCATCTGTCGTGGGGTTTGGCAACACAGGAGCCAAAGTTAGACAAATATGCTATGCGCATTGGGAATGCGTACGTCACAGGTCAACAGAAATGGCGCTCGAAATATCGCGCGCTCGTCGCTTTGAAATTTTGTAACAGGTTATATTAGTTTAATACAGAGTATTGTGATACATAGTATTACTATTAGTAAGTCCCAGGATAGCGGAGAAAGGAGTGTTTAGAATAAACCCAGTTTGGAAGTTCTCGTCTCGAAAAACGCACCATAAAACGGCCCTGAGTGAATCACTCAGGGGCACCTCAAAAGAAAAAAATAGGCTCGCGTTGTAACCCTACTCTTGTTGGGTTACATTATTGTATTTAGGGCTCCTCCAAAGAAAAGAATAGGCTCGCGTTGTAACCCTGTCGTACGGTACCCAAACTTGGAATCTGCACAATCTCGAGATTGTGCAGCGATTGTGCTGCCCAAACTGCAGATTCCCTAGTTTGGCTGACCAATCTCAAGATTGGGCAAACTGAAAACAGTCGGTAATTCAACAACCGCTCATAGCGAGTGTGTGGCGTGCGTGGTGCAAACTAGGAAGAGATTTATCTCCAGGGTTCTCCCCACGTTGCGCAAACGGGGCGCGCCCGCCCCGTTTGGAAAATCTCCCCCCCGTTTGAATCGTTGCGCCCCGTTTAAATTACCTCCGCCCCGTTTGGAAAATTCCACCACAATAAAAGTTTGACAGCGCCGGAATCGATCCTCAAGAATTGCCGTAAGACCAGGACATCTGACGCATGCACTGCAGACAGTAGACAAGTTAAACTGACAATGCACAGTTAACCTGTGAGTCTGTGACTACTGTACACCGACTCGGCTATCTTATATATACAAGAACCCCAAACACCGTCTATGGTGTGGTGGCGATTTTACCCATTAATTAGTCGTACGGTAAAAATACAAGCCCCCGAACCCCCTAGTTTCCCCCCCTCCC